GGGGGCTGTTCCTGCCCCTGAACGGCTGCAGTGAATCTCCAAACACAAATAAGCTAAGATGCTGCAAATAAAGTCCTCTACTGTGTCCAATTTGCTTTTCAGAGTCACTCTGGGTGAAATAATAAGCAGATCCGATTTGGAAACATTTATCATTACCCTCTACTGCTTCTGCATTAAAATGGCTCCTGACGCTTATATTATTCCACAGATCTGGCAATATATATTCATGTGCATTTGAACGCTGATTGAATTTGCTCCACATCCTCAGAGCGAGCTCGACGTATCAGCAGCCTTACGGTCAGAGGTTGAAAAAAAATCATTGACAGTAAAAATTCAAAAGACTGCAAATAATAACACTGGAGAGCGAGGCTGCTAGGAAAATATATACAACCGCGTGGTTCCAGGGGAGTCTTGTTTTTTCCCGGGTGCTATTTCCCAGTTTTCCAATGGAGGGATTAACCTTGAAACTCACTCCTGCCTGGTCACCCCGGCCCACAGAAAATCTAAATCTTGTTTACCAGGTTTGACTTTGAATGATGGCCACTTTCCACTCCTTCAAACACACGCAGCACAATCTGGCGTAGATCAACAAAATGCACAAACAGAGGTTTACTCCGTTTACGTAAACAGACCTGCATCCAGAGACACAGACTACAGCTGTCCTATCTCTCACAGATAACAAACATGCACCCGACGCCGCACACTTTCGAAAAAACACCTTGACACCAACGATAGGAGCCGCTTCCATTCAAAAGATATCAGAATTGCTGCGGCCTTCAGAGTTCATGGGAAAACAGATTCATTCGGGTTAGGAGAAAAGTGAGTGTGGAACTGTGTCAGCGCCATAAAAGGTTTGTTCTCGGAATACAACGACAAGAGAGAGCAGGAGTGAAAATTCACCCAGATGGTGTGTTATTGGTTTCCATTCCATTTTATAAAAGCCTCTGTCAGCGGACTGAAAACTAAGCAAACTAATGATAAAATTAAATAGAAATAAAGCCAACAAACAGTACCTCGGTGTGAATCAGGCATGCCAGTTAGAAATCCACAGTGGGTAACGGGAAAAAAATCTCAGTGGCTGTCTCCAGTGCAGTTGTTCAGTGAATGACTTACTAAGTAGGAGGCCGAAAAAATAAGTGAAACAATAAAGAGGATATGAGTGTGTTTCTGACGGTCCTCTTTAATATCCTGTAATTGTCAGCGCGCCCCCTCCCTCACCTCTCTCGCTCCCTGTCTTTCTTAAGTCACATCCTATTTTGAAAACTCTGCAGAATCAGAGTGTGGTTAACCCTTGAGATACAGTTGATCAATTCTATCTTTTCATCACTTTTCTAAATGTCCTAACGTATCCAATAAATTAGCAAAAGCTACCCAAAAATGTTAGAATGTTTAGTAAAAGAGTGCTTTTGAAATTAAGCAGTAGAAATCATCTTTTGTGTGTTTACGGATTCATTAAGCTGCTGAGTTTAAAGGCTTCACTGCGGTGTTGTCCCACAGCTCAGGGTTCAACGCAGAAACTCTGTTTTCACTTGAGTGTGAAGGCCATAGGTACCAGTCAGCATTCAGGCCAAATTCAAAACATTTTCATTTTCATTCAGACTGACGATTGTTTAGAAAAGTACGTTTTCAGAAAAGTTTTTTTTAAACTTTTTTTATCAGGCACTAGATTTCTTCTTTTTTCTCTCTTTTTAATTTCCACTGTATTTTTGTGACTTGCACTGAACACAGTTAATTATTGTTCACCCTTGACTTGGTTTACTTGGTTTGTTGGTTTATAAATATTCTGGTATAATGTTTCCTTTTAATTTATCCAGTTTGTTATGTTTACTGTTGTTTTTAGTTTTTTTATTTTAGTGCCAGACACAGTGCTTCATACTGTTCTCCCTTTTGATTTACCTTTGAAAAGCCAGTCAACAGTCATGCACATCTCGTCTCTATTATTACTTAAAGCATTTAAATTCAATGAAGACATAAATAGATTGTTGGTACAAAAAGAGCTTCAGTTACTGTTTCCTTCAGGGAGACGTCAGCACATGTGAGTGGATGGCGGTGTAAAAGGTGTCAGCCACCAGTGCCATGTGTGACAAACAGATCGGCGGGTGTTTAAAGCTTGAAAAGTTAGTCTCCGGGGAAGCTTACAGACAGACGCTAACTCGCACAGTTTAGTAAACTTTAACAGGAAGGAAGTTGAATAAACACACACAATTTACAAAAACAAAAACAAAAAAAAAATGTGTGGAGGCGATGTTCTACTGCTCTGCTCATTAGCTGAGCAAACAGTCCACCAGTGGAAAGTTGGTGTCACATCTATGCTAGTATTTTAAATAGAAAAATGAAAGTTTTTAAACCTACCTATGTAGTAGGAACCAAGCAGCCAGCTGTGGTGATCTTGTTTTGTCGTTTTTTTATGGAAACAAAAGCTTTAAAATACCCCTCTCTCACTATCTCTCTCCCTCTCTCTCTCTTTCTCGCTTTCGCTCTACATTTTGACCCAGCTGATGAGAACAGGAAGACCTGCTCTTGCTGCCTCTGCTGAATTGTGCACCAAGTTCACATGAACCTGAAGCAGGGGATTTACAGACACATCATCTAATGCAGACTGGCACCTTAAGACTGCAGTGGAAAATACCCCAGTTCTTCAAGAACAGCGCTGATTTACCCTGAAATGCTGAAGTGACACTTTTGCTCAGAATTGGCAACAAAACACAACAGAAAAATACAAGAGTTATTCAAATGTCATGATACGTTTTTGGGGGGGATTTCCTGCAGAGCGTTCTGACTAATTTCACATCATGTATGTATGTTTTAATTTGTTTAACAGGAACAGGTGGATTTAAAGGTTTACAGTTGGAAAGTTATAACAAAGAAATTGAATGAGTGAATTATTTGGCCTACGTCCTTCTTGAGTTAAACTGCTCATCAACCAAAATAATGGATTACACCAAGGTCTTCCAAAAAAACGTGTGTCAGTGGAATGTAGGTGAGAAAATTAACTCATCAGTAAAAAGTTTTCCTCATTGGTGGCATCTAATGTAACTACCAGAAACAAAAGGAATCAAACCTTTGACTTTCCAGTGAAAAGACGACCAATCTATCCGTTGATATACAGTCCTCTGAAGCTGCGCTAACTGCCTGACTTTACTGCATCTGCCTTAAGTGTAGCAGTATGTTGACCGTTGCCTGAACAAGGCCTGTAGTTTTGTGGCTGTTCTCAAGGCCTGGGTCTGGGCCCACTGATGTGTCACATGAGATATTTTTTGGGGCCCCTAAGTAAAATGTTGTTTTTTTGTTTTTTCAGTACAATTGAAATTGAAATGTCATGTTGGAAAATGTTCCCTATATATATACAGTATATAGACATACATACATATATGTACACATATGTATATGTATGTACTGTATATATGTGTGGTTTTAAAACATGAAATTTCAATTTTAACTGTACAGTAAATGATCTACATATCCTTTGTAATGTATATACATATGTATACAGTATATACATATATATGTACTGTATATATTTATAGCTATAAACGTTTAGAAGCAGTTTTCTACTGAGACTTGGCCGGTGTCGGGGTCATAGTGCTGTGCCATTGGTTGTAGGCTGTGGATTGGATATTAAACTGGATTCCGCGGCATTTGCATAAACATTGGAGCATAATAAAACTAGTTTTTCAGCATGTCTGTCTTCTCCTCACTCCTCTCCTCAGCAATGCTCTCCCAGGCATACGCAGCACATTTGTTCACGGTTTGCGCTAGTTCACGTCTCCTTTCACCTCCATCACTCAAGTCTCAACAGTTCTGCTGTCTTTATTGAGAAGTTGTATTTGTCTAGTTTTGAGTGATGAATGGGGTGTGGCTATGTGTCAGCCCCTGCCTTGACAAAAGATACTAATCTGTGTGCTGTTAGAGGGAATTATAGTCAGTAATTGTGTCTTGAGAAATCTCCACTTGCCTCGCTTCTGAATTGGCTGTAAACACAGAAACATCTGGCAGAAAATCGCAGTCACATTTTTTAAACCACATTTCTCCTGTTTGTCATGAGTTGCACAGTGACCTAAAACACTTGACCCATTTTTAGAGTTTTATTCACATTAGCCTCACGCTGCAAGCCTGAAATCCAACACTATCAACTTGGGTTAAACCGTCAGCACCAATACGGTATTTTTTGACAGGACATATGAACGTGCGTAGAATAAATAGTGAACTTACATTTCAGTGAGCTGCTGTTTAGAATTGCCTCTTCACACTGCAGGTATGTTGCTGCTCCCACGCTGAGATCCTTGTTATCATGGAAACTGCCAGAGTGAGTGTGCACGTTAGTACAGGTGTACTCAGTGAGGCACAAGGAACTATGTCCTCCATTGGCTGCCGGGCTGGTTGAAACCTGACACCAGCCTCGCTTATCTCTTTTACACAAGTAGACTGACTGTGCACTGAGTATGAATGTTATCATGTCGTGTAAGTCGGTTTATTATCACATCCTATATTCCTTCAGGATTAAAATCCTGTTTGGTCATTAGCGTGTTGTTTATTTTGTTTTTATGTTTTTCTGCAGCTGTTAAAATTAGTCTGTAGTCTTTTTAAATGATCAAGTTGGCACTAACTAAATTTTTTTTTTTTAAACAGCAGCATGGAGTTAAAAAGAATTAATTCCCTCTGCCACCATGTAACCTCTGTAGGGTTTCTGTCCTACATTTGAATTTTCTAAATGTTCATTTCTTTTGCAGGTGCAGCTGATGATGCAGCTGTTTGTCCCTGGGCAAATGTCAAGGAATTATAGAGCTGCTGTTTAATCCCGAAAAGAGGGGAGACTGAATGTTTTAAGTAATATCTGTATTATAATTATAATAATAATAATAATCATCATCATAATCATCTTCATCATAGTAACTATTATATTAATAATAATAGTATTTAATTTGACAAAATAACCGTGCCATTAAAAACACTTAGAGCATTAAATGAGTTAATGACTCTATAGTATAATTAGCCTATGTTTTTTTTTACATTGAGCAACAGATGTTGCAAACCTCTATCTTAAATATTCAGGGACTTTTAATTACATTTTATTATCCCCTTACACTGACCTAGTAAATTGAAGTTTTTGAAAATGATTCATATCTGCGCTGTTCTTTTATCTTCTTCTTTAGCCTCAGCTAGCTAACCGCTGCAGTAGCTTCTTTTGGATACATTACTGCCACCATTTGATCATTCTATTCCTATTTCTTTCTGATACAGCTGCTGACTTCAGTCAAGTCTATCAGGAATCTCATAGTCTTTTTTTTTCTGATTCTTTACAGCTCCAGATGCCCCGTGTTCTCCCTTCGAACACATCTTCTTTTGTCCAGGATAGAAAGGTAACAGTGAGGCTAATGTGCTAAATAGGAACTCAACGCGTCTCTTATTTACAGAGGTACATGTTTCTGCTCAAGGAGTAATACAGAACAAAATTGTTCCTCTTTTCACCGTCATCATTTTACATTCTCCAATGTACTCGCATTATTTGCGCTTGCTGCTCACCAACAACTACCCCGTAGCTTTAATTTGACACTCAACCTTAGGCTAGCTGTAGCTGATGACAACAGAAAATTTGAACAGTCCTCTTGGAAAGACATCAGAGCATCTCAATACACGAAAGAAAGTCATTAGCTGTGACACAAAGCTTTAGCAGAAGCACAGAAAACAAAGTCAATTTTGCTCGTATGGTTTTTGTGGGAAAGGCACGATCTTTGCAAAAAGTGACATCACATATGGTGCCAGCTATTGTCATAGCAACATGTTTTGGACCTCATTCACCACAATGTGGAACCAACATTTACCATAACAATGGCTGGTTATAAAGAGGTTAACCTGTATGGTGTGTACCACAAGAGGAGCAGCTTTCCACCTCAGCATCAAAGTCCTTCAAAGCTGTTGGTGTTGTGCTGACTTCTACCTGTTCCAAACAAACACCTAGGGGACTGTTTGTATGGATTTGTTTAGCTGAAACCAGTCTCTATGCAGAGTTTTGATTACATTATCCTTCCCTTTGTAAATACTGGGGAGGAGTGAGCAGCATTTCCCTGTTGGCAGTGGCCTGGATCACCTCTGATCTCGACACCACTACCAAAACAGGAAAGAGAAATACGTCCCATGTTTGTGGAGTCGATTGTGCTCCTTGTTTTTGTTAAGGGTTAAAATTAACCATTTTTGTACATACTTGGGCAAAAGTTTAGTTATTTTGGATATTATTATAACTAGATTATTGTTCTTGTTGTTCTTGTATACGGCGTGTTTAAACACTGTCACCATTCCTACAATTAAGAAATTAAAGTCAAGGGTGCGGAAATGTTTTTATCTCTGTTGTGTTAAACACAAAACAGTATTTGTGTTTGATCAAAGTTCTGTTGAAACAGTTTGGTGTTTCTGTTCTGTTTCGCAATGTTACTATTTTTTTACCTAAACTTACAACTTTTTTCCCGTAATATTACGATATTTTTTCTCCTAAGATAACAACTTTCTTCCTGTAATACTACAACTTTTTTCTTATAAACTTATGACTTTGTTCTAGTAACGTTAAGACTTTATTCATAAGATTCAGAACTTCATTCACCTAATTTTTTCATCCTTAACATGGCCCTAATACTCCGTCATATTATGTAGCACAATTTTTTTTAAATAGTATAAATATCACTGCTGCTTTGGACAACAACCAAGGCCTGAATAACCGGAAGCATCTACCTTAGATCATACTTGGCCCAGAGTTGAAAAGAGACTGTAGAGGTCTATGTGGGTCTCATAAATAATATTTGAAAAGCTGACATTAGTGTTTATAGACTGTGTGTTTTTATCTTCCTGAGGGGATGAGCTGTGGTGCCGAATCTTTTATTGAGATTTGTGGTAGTGGCTTCACATGCCCTCGTGTACACCCAGAGCAAAAACCAAATCTTTGACTTGTGCTAAAAAATGACTTATTGATGAAAAGACATGCTCAGTTTTATGAAGTGTTTTTTGATGTAACAGTCCTTGTCCTTGGCTGATTAAAATGAGTACAAGTCTGTCTTCTGTGTGAAACACACAGGTTGTTACAGGCTTGGTCTGGCAAATATGTTTTGTTTTTTTTTTCATTAAAAAAATGTAGTTATCCTTTAAAATGTATTGTAGTGTTATGGAATATGTTTGTTTTTTTTCTCAGAAATTTATAGTTTTGTTTTGGTGGTGTTTATTTTAGGCCATAAATTGTCTGGTCACTGGATATTTTCCGTCGTAACCGCTTATTTTAACTGTTCATGTAGATAACGACAGACTACGGAAACTCAAATTCTTTGATAAGTAGGCAAATTGCTTCCTGTTGTTGATCCGCACTGTATATATGTCAAAATACGACACAGTGGCATAACAAAAATAAAAGTGTGGACATGAGTAATAACACACTAGACTCGATATGGCACGTAACCCAAGATAAGACCTTCCACAGTGTTTACTGGAGGGAGACAGCATTCTGAACGTGTCGTCACACAGCTGACCTGTGAGGTTTCTGTAATAACTATGTTACTGAACTGTGTTATGGTAACCAGACCGCAGTGAGCTAAACTATCTTCCTAAAGCAACTATCTTCCAGGAAATGAAAGTTTTGTGGTCGAATGTAGGATTTGGACCCTTTTTCGTCTCAGTCTCAGCAGACATTAGTATATATATATATATATATATTTAGCACTGAATAGTTCTAAAGTGTGCATGTGTCCAAAAGCCAAGTAAAAAAAAAGCCTGTTTCCGTCACTAGTGTGATTTCTCCACAGTGAAGTTAACGTGTCCTACACTTTGACAGCGGTTATATTTAAAGTGACGTCGATCATGAAATTCACCTTTTCCTCTCGACTGATGAAGGCTGTCAGCTGCTCAGTGTCTGCACAACACAACATATTGCAATGTACTTCCTACAAGTCCGGCTGGAACTGTGAGTGTCATTCAGAATAATGTTGGGGCATGTCAGCCATGACAACCTGCTCAGTATCATAGTTAACGTGACTACCGTAATATATAGTAATAAAGCCCCACTTATATTCTGATTTTAGAAATCATGAGTACAAAAATACCCAAGTGCGTTTTATATTCAGGATTCTTAAACCTAGGCTGCAAGTGCACAGTTACCACAATTACCAAATATATACATTATATATATATATATATATTTTCCACCATCTACTCACTTGTCATTGCTCTAATACACCGTGTGTACCATGAGTATTTGCTGACGCTGCACCTCAGGCTTAAAATACCATCTGAACGTGAGTGTGCGTTTGTGGGAGCTTCAACTTAAGGTCAGAAATCAGGCTTCCGTCACACCAGCCTCACGGAGCACAGGGCAGTGAGTACGTCTGCGTACGTGTACGGAAGCTGACAAGCTGACTGACACGATGGCTTGAGGACAACGGCTTCAGCGAAGTTTGGAAAGCAACTCTCAAGTCAAGTCACTGTCAAATAAGTCGAGGTTAAACCTTCCTGGAATGTGTCTGAGTCATAAACGTGTGTCCACTGTGCACAAAGTCATGGGCCAAACTTAATATTTTTTGAAAAAGTTATGGCAATTGTGCATGTTGTCCCTTCTCTCTAGATATGTAACATAGAATTTTTGTTTTGCATAAACATTGAGATACACCACATACACCGCAAATACTACAAATTCTCTAGTACACATTTGATATGATCTCATGGGCCAAATATAATTACACTGTGGGCCAGATTTGGCCCCCGGGCCTGAGTTTGACACATGTACATGTGTACATCTTTATTTAATGTTAAAAAAAAAAAAAAAACTAATTTGCAAAAAAATATACCAAACTGCAGTTTTCTGAAGGGGGTAAAAAAAATTTTTTTTGGGTGATGCTTGGTGGGCTTCATTTGGCCCACCTATCACCAGCTGGTCAGGGTTATCAGCGCGCCTGCCGCTGACAGACTCCGTCTTCAACTGGCCGACTGCATTTGTATTTATGAATCTTCCTGGTCACTCTGTCCTCTGGTGAAGAATGGCTTCTCTGTTCCATGTGTAAATCCAGCCGAGCAGCTGATTTTGCATCTGATAACATCTGTGGCATGCTGCTTTCCCCAACAGGATCATTTAGTGGATGCCTCTCCACTGTAGGCGCTTGGTTAAGAGCTGCGTGTTGGCGTGCGTGCGTGTGAACTTGTGTACGTGCGAGGAGGATGAAGAATTGTTTTTTGCAGTAGTTTGAGAGAATGCACTTTTCTGTGCCAGGGGGCAGGGGCTGAAGTGAAATCATGGAGGAGTGAGGACTGCTGTGAGTGTTATTAATGTTGACTCTACATGTGTTGTTTCATCAGTGCTGTGGTGCACCAGTAAATCACCCAGGTCTACACACACACTTCTGTTGTACTTCCAGAACTCTGGCAAGCTCTATACAATTAAGTTGGAAGATTGATGTGAGGCCATCTGAACTTTGCACGGCATCTGAAGTTTACTCTCTCTCTCTCTCTCTCTCTCTCTCTCTCTCTCTCCTCCCACAGCAAACTCGTGCCCTTAAAATTCTCACTGGAGTATATGTGTCAGTGCACGCCTGGAGTCTTGTGGTATTTTATCTGATATCCACTGCCCATGGGCCTGTTATGAGGGATGTCATTGTGACTCTGGTTACATGCAGAGTGGAAATGGCCGTGTCAAGGCTGAGCGATGTGGCTCTCTCTGTCACGGCCACTGCCATGAGTTACTTCGCTGCACGTTGTTTCGTTCCTGGCACTATTTACATGCTGTGATGCAAGGTGGGAAATGTAGGATCACGGTAGTAGAGACGGAGGGAAAATATTGTTACCTGTCACAACTAACACGATGAGCTTAAGCTCAATGATGTTGTATACAATTCTATTCTGTTCTTTTTCAGTGATTTGCTTCAGGCAATTGTTAGTGATAACAGTACAGATCCTGGTCTTTGCATATCAGCCGATAACCGATACTGATCTGATACCATTGTTGAATTAATAAGCTCTATATCTCACCATCTAACAGGCAGCAGAGGTATCAGGCTTGACTCAATAATTTTTTTTTTTAATTTCCACCCACAGCCAAAAAAACAAAATCCCTTTTCATTATACACTCTTTATTGACCATAAGTGTGAATGTTTGTTTATCTTTACACAGAATGTGGTCCAGCGATGGACTGGTGAACTGTCCAGGGTGTACGCTGTCCTCACTCAGTAAGTGCTGGGATTGATGGAAGAATGGATTGGGTTGATCGGACATTCTAAATCAGGGGTCACCAACGTGGTGCCCGGGGGCACCTGGTAGCCCCCATGGACTACCCGAGGTGTTTGCGGGGTATGTAAAACTGTGTGTAAGAACATTTATGAACAGGAATCCAACTACTTCCTTGTAAACATAAATAGGAAAAAAAACCACTGTAGAACAACGAAACACAATGAATGATTAATATTTCAGTGAAGCAGTAGAACGTCATACTCCACCCCTGATATCAGCCAAAAACACCAGTAAATCTGTTGATGCTGTCGTTACACATCAGCACCTGACTTCACTGAAGTTTCAGTTACCGACATGTCCCTACACTTCAGATAAATAAGTAATGCATTGATGAGATGTGACTGATGAAACGTTTGTACCAGAGTCACAGTTCTTCTGCCTCACCTCAATCTGTGACAAATGACTAATGTGGTAATCCTCCGTCTCTGCTTCATCCCAGTTTGTTCCGTTGATGAGCATCGCTGGATAACACACAAACAAAATGACTCATGCTCCTGTGTAAGTTGGGAAGCCATTGTGCAGAGAGGGATGTTCTGCTACTGC